TTTTCAGTCCATATGTATTAAATATTGCGATTCCTAAACCCCTAAATAACCCCTGTACAAGTCGTTTAGATTCTAGACAGCGTCACAGTTGATTCTGCGTTATGTATTAGTCGTCGTTGAGGGATTAATTAGGATTTGTATCTGACCAATTTACGATTACAATCCTAATAGATCATTTAGTAAATTTGTTTCTACCACCCTTGGTATTCGCCAACAAGTGCATGTGAAGGCGCGTATCCACCAGTTGCGTGTCCTCGTATCGTATCGCCGTTGCGTATCACCGTTTCGTATCGTCGTTGCATATCACCCTATCGTATCGTCGTTACGTATCATCGTTGCATGCGTACTTCTACCAAACGACCTATCGCGAGAAATAGTTACAGTTACCAAAGGAAATCACCGCGTTGATGGGTGTCATAAATGTATAAAAATTGGAAAATATACAGCGAGCTTCAAATAATTTAATAATTCAGATTCCGTGAAGAGAGTCCAGTTTATTTTTTATACCGCCTCGTACACGGTCTAGATCTCGCTTACTCGTAGCTCGTGTGTCCAAATTAAATAGTTGTTAGGTAAATGAACGAATGGGATAAATAGAAAACTAAATATTATGGTTGTTTTGTGTGAAAAAGTGGTACGCGGCCCGGTTACGATGCATAATGCACCCACAAGCTCGCGTACACGCGCAACGGAACTTGGAAAGAGTACTACGGACCTTTGTAATCTCCGTCGGAAGGGGAGAAGGGGAATTTCCATCGCGAGACAATAGCACCGCTAGAAGTTCCCGGTGTACTTTGCGTTCCGTTTGCGTCCACGTTAGCTGGCCAAAAAGTAGGCCGGCCCGCAAAAATGAATAGTTCTTTTGTCATTTAAATGTAATCGTTTCCCGGTCCCCACTTTTCGGGCTTGTCTGTAGCCGAAGGAAACTGCTTGGCGGCAAGAAATTCTGTGAAACGGCGAACAATCCCGCGAAGTAATTCCCGTCAAACGACGAGTTATCGAAATGCTCTAAAATTTCTAAAGAAAATATCCGTATATTCAAATCTACGTAAATGCGAAGTAAACATAAAATATCCTGGTCGCTGCACGATGTTGTAGAGTTTACAGAAATTTTGGACTTTCACGTAGTAATTTAAAAGGTTGGGCTCCCACTTCGTCGTAATTGCAATTATACTTTTTGTTTTACGCGGTCAGTTCTAGGAAACGGACTTTCTAATTAGTTTAAAATGTTTTGTGTACGTTTTGTCCAGGGAGAAATGTTAGTCTTCCTGCAGAATTTCAACGAGCTTAAAGCACGCTTCGTAAACCATTAAATTATCGTCATCAAACTTGCGGGACGATCGATGCATAGGTACGATAATTTTAATATTTGACAAAGCGAAATATAAGAAAACGATGCTAGTCCCGCTCCAATCAGGGACACGCTGGCCCGAGGGAACGCTCTGATTGTCTCGGGCCAAGTTAGGCTATATCAGTTACCGAAATGAGATTACATATTTTGGAGCCACTTCGTATATTGGTCAAATGCAATTAATCGTATGCAGTGAACTGTTTTGTTCGGAAGATTAGCCAATTTATCCCAACCAGTTGTTCGCAAAATTTACGCAATTCCGCCTGCTCGAGCACAAAGTCCACCACTACCGCTACCTTATTTTTCTGATATCAAATTGTGCCATTGTTTAGCTTTGCAAATGTACTTTGTGAATAAAAGACAGTGTAGTATCAATGACTGAACACAATACGCGATTGAATGAATATACAGAAACTGATAGAAAGTATGTATAAATGAAGAAATTATTGGGGGCTACTGGAAAATACGTCACGATTATCTTCCGTGTCAGGTAGGTCACAGGTCGCGGAACATCCGCGACGTGTCCTCCGGGTGAATTTACGTTTATCAGGGTTACGAGAAATTAAATGTCGATGGGAATGCCAATTTAGTCGAAGGGAACGGTGCCGCGACTGCGCATCAGGAGATAACTAAAATTCAGCGTTTATTCGGGCATCGTGCTTCGATTCGAAATCTTTCGACATGGATTTCGATTACTCATTCCTGAAGGAGCTCGCAAACGTCGAGGAGAAACGGTCTCGCGTGCCCGAACACGCGTCAACATCAAAATATTTTCGTTCCAGTTCCACGTAGAATTTAATAACGCGTTCGATACCGTTTCCTTTCATTTTCTTTAACAGACGCAATGATGAATTACCTCGAGCATATAAAACACCGTGGAAGGTGCAACGAGCTTTGTTTGTTGCGTCTAAATTTTATTGCACAACGATAAATCACAATATCGATGGGTACACGCGACTCGATCGTAACCAATTCTATACGACATTCCGAAAGAGCGCAGCGTGTACATTTTTATCTTACATTGCCAATAGGGGATTAACCCGTGAAGCGTGCCGCGGGTGCAGCCGTATCTCACAAACGAACGCATTGAAACGATTTTCGATACGTTGTTTCCCGGAGATACGACGGTTACGAGCGTCAGAGGCTCGCCCTCGCGTTTCTGAAGCGATTCGTTATCGCGCGATTAACAGGAGCGTGCTAGCTTAATTTGAGCTAAGCTCGAGGAAAAGTTCGTTGGGCTAATGAAGACCGATTGCCCGGGACAGGAAGTAGGGCGCGAGCTTTTATCGTCCCTCTAATTGGATTAGAGAAAATAATTCCTGCTTCCGTACCATTGCTCGCGATAACGCGTCTCACAGAAGCGTATGCTAATTTTTGCTAATGGACTCGAGGTCGGTCCAGCCGCTAAATCAGCGCTTCTTTAATTTACTCGCCGTCGCCTTTGGGGTGCCGTGAATGGCCAGGTGACTCGATACTCTTTGAGCTACTCGCTACGCTCAATTCTTTGCTCAGAACGCGCCTCGTTGTGCATTGTACACAATGGCGAATCAAGCACCGTTCTAATGGAATAATTTCTAAATAATCCGAAGGATTACCATAAATTACCACCGCGATTTTAACGATCTTTCGTAGGACGATAGAATGCATATTTCTAATAATATATTCAAGTCGAATATCAGCTGTAATTAATTAATGTTACAAAGCAGATAATGTACTACGAACATAGGTGTCTGATCGTAGAAGCTACGAAGGCGAAGTGACATGCTGCGTGGCTTGTAAATTGGACTTCCAGTGCCATTTAAACGGGTCTCGATCGCTGAACTTACAAGCCACGCAACATGGCACTTCGGCGTGTCGTAGCTTCTAAATACAAACACCTATGTTCATGGAACGTCGCTAGATACCTAACATTGGTTAATTATATCTTCAAAACTATGTATTCTATAACGTCTGTTCGTGATCAGTTGAGTAGAGGAATCACTTTGGATCAGATGATTAGATTCCACGTTTGAGCAAGCCAGTAAAATAAAGATCGTAATTCGTTGGGCGAGTTGAATTAAGTCCATGCCTGACGAAAGCAGTTGGATAATGATTATCTCAGACAAGTTGATTAAGAATCTCTTTTAGCCAGAACGATCAAATAAGGAATTCACATCGGGCAAGTGGAATAAGGATCTCAATGGTCAGACAAGACCTGTCTTGAGAAATATTACATCCAGACAGCAAGACAGGATGAAAACCTTGTCTGCTTTAACAAATAGAATAACCATCTGGTTGGATAAGATATTGCTCAAAGAATGAAGGCGAGGGCAGAACCACCTTAAGCTCTCTCTTCCGTTTTAAAGGAACAGATCGTTTAACGTGACGTTCTCGAACCCCCAGTCGCTCAACGTTTCAAACCCTTAATGAAAGGCTGATTCTATTCAGTTCTCGACACTGGGGATTCCTAATCGAGCACTATGGGCGAACCGCAACCTCGGATCTTTCTTTGATGAGACTGCGATTCGGCTGCAACGGATCGCGGATATCAAAGGCAGCACGTGTTCGTTCGGTGCGCGTTCTCGTAAACGTAACGTTAGACTTGGTCCCTGTGTCCCAGCTTTTGAACAAGACTCAAAGACGGACAATGATCAGTCCTCGTCGACGGCTACCCCGAGGCAAAACGAAACTTATTACAGTAATGATTCTTAACACATTAGTGTTATTTACTACCAAACGACGCGAAAATATGTCATTGAGATTTTGATGTGTCTATCTTAAAATTAAAAAAAAACATGTTCTTTGCATAAATATCAAAATAGAAGTTTTACTTTATTTTGTGAATCATAGAATTCTAAACTCATTTCGCGACAGTGAAAGACCTGTTTATCCGGCGCGTCGCGCCTCGTTTCCAAAGAGTCCAACGAGTTTACGCATTCCAAGCCGCGCGGCAGCGAATAAATTACTGGCGACGCGTCCATCCGCGACGATAAATCAGTTCCTAAACGGGCATGAAATCTCGGCAGGGCTCGCGACAAAATAACGAACGAGAGGGCAGAAGAATATCACGGGGACGGAAGAACGGTCGGAAAAGGTCGCCGCTGGAAATGGCGAATCCTTTTCAACCGCACCATCGCGTTTAATGCGACTATTTATTCCCGTGACCGTCGACGAATTTCTTTCTCTCGCTCGGCTACATTCTAAAAACCGCGGCGACTCTTGTCAGAAAGAGGTTGAAGGGGGAGGTGTGGGGGGCAGTTGAAGCGGAGTCGAATAGGCGAATGGGGGTTTGGAAACGAAAGAGTGAATTCCAAGCACGACCAGAGTCGTCCTACGAAGGCAGGACCTGCCACCGCTCGGGATGCACGTAATTTCATAAAGTAGTTAGTCTCGGCGGCTGTCGCGACTATTTTCTCATGCTCGCGGGAACTCAGTTTTTCGTTTCGTGCGACTTTCTACCGACGACCGATAAAACAAGACGACCAACGAACTCGTAAGTAAACCGCCGGAGCCCGTCTCGAAAATGCAAATGCAATTAAGTCGTGACAACACCCCTTTGCCACCCCTGTCCTCGGCAACAGCCTCGTAAAAGTCGCGACGAGTTTTTTTTCGTTCCCTTTTAGTGATTCTCTTTCCTCGGTCTTCTTGCAGAGAGGCTCTCGTGGATTCAGGACACTAGTCTTGGACTTGTTGAATCGGCGAAGAAACGAAGCACGACTCGGACGTTGAATTCACGGGGTAATTCGTTTTGCGATCGAAGCGTCGGACAGGGCCACGAACGTTGGGTGAGTTTTAACAACATCAGTTTTGGGATGCAGATTTGAACATTTTCTGGTAGAGGGTTCGACGATCGGTTTAGGTTTCCTATATATTTTTTAGCAAATTCTAATCGTTTGCCTTATACGTGACTTTCTTCGTGCTGTACGACCATTAAATCTTGCGTTTCTTAATCTTCTGCGACATGTTTTCGCATGTACTTCCTTATCGAAGCACCTATAAATAACTGCTGCGAGTTGTGGACCGCCTATTCTTGGATTTTTTTTTAATTTTTATTCCAGTAGACTTTATCCGTGTAATGATGTCTCAAACTGTTGATTTGCTTTTATTCACTAAATTCGTGACATCGAATCAGCAGCGATTTGTTTAGATTTATTATTTCTATTCATTAGTTTCTCTGAAATTCCTTGGCACAACGTGCACTGTTCAGAATTTTTTGTATCGTTGAGAAATCGATTAGTTTAACGAGTCTGCAGTACAATTTATTCGCCCAACTTGACAAAATCGATTCTTCGAACGTTGTAGACGTAATTTAGTCGCGACATCCTGCACTGTTTACTGCTTGGATAACTACTTGCTAACTGTTCGGATGTTTTTATTGTTTTCAATAAAAACTGCATCGTCTAGAAGTTCGGGCGACGTTGGTCATTAATTTATAACAGCGTCATGAATTCTTACGGTACTTGCGATCCCTCGTAAAATTCGTATTGCACCCTTAAAAATTACGAAACGTTTTAACGAGCTGAGCGGAAAAAAAGTCGTAAATGACACTTTACAAAAGCACTTTGTGTTTAAATTTAATTACTTGTATATTGCGGCAAGATCGCGCGATTCCCGTTTAAAAAAGTTGTATCTAAAATAAGAAATGTAGAAAAATATGTAACTTTTTATGCGGAAGTGAGATTTATGAAATTTATTTCCATATGTCACGTACTCATTTCATTCTCAACTTGACATCAGTTTCGTTGTTTCCCGAACGCTCAAATACAATTTCTAAGAAAAGTCTAGAACGTCGAGTAACTGCACCCTTCGTCACAAAACCAATCATCGATCGAATTTCCTGAGAATTCTAGTATCGCTTCGATCGGTTTCACAATGCGAAGAAGGTCTTGGGAATTCTCCGGTGCATTGGGAAAAATTTCGTTACAAAGCGACGGACCGCAAGGGTGAGACGTCGACCATCCATCCTATTTTTCACGAAGGTCGCGGGACATCGCGTTCTTTCAAGGAGGCGAGTCCATGTCTGCATTTTAAGCGTGGATTTCAATTACAATGCTTCTGCTTCGTGACATAATCTTGGCGGTCACGAGCGACAAGTCGGGCTCGATGCACTCCTCGTGGAAAAAAGCTCGCCATCGCTTACTGTCGTGCTCCCACGACGATTCCGCATCCTGAATACTTAAACGGAGTCGCGAACCTCCTTTGAATTGTAAAGCGAACCAAAGCGATACTACCGAACTGCTTTCCATCCCTCTGTCGCGGAGTTTCTTCTTTGGCCGAGCGTTCGCCCTGAAACGAAATCTCGGCTTGGATTTTAATGGCCCTCGAACGCTATCCGGCGCCGGACGAAACCTTTCTCACCACAAACTAGAGACTATCCCACGTATTAAGAAAACGGTGGTCGTACCGGACAATTTAGATAATGGCAACTTATTTTATCGTTAAGACGTTCGAAACTATAGATCCCCATCTTACGTGTATCTAAAACATAGGTGTACGCACGTAGTTAATATATTCGTGTTGAAATTTTTCGGCAAAATTATAAAATTTCAAATCGTTCTGAAAAAATTATTTTCGTTTGCAGGGGTCAATTACAATCATTTTTGGTCAATACACATACCCCCGAAATCCTAACCATTTTCGAGAAAAAAATTCCTTACCGAAAATGTAATGTCTGACCATAGCGTCGATATGTTTCACTGAAATTTTTCAAATTTTATCAAATCGTTCTGAAAAAAATATTTTCGGTCGCGAGGGTCAATTACAAGCATTTTTGGTGAATAGACCTATTCCCGAAATCCTACCCACTTCTGAGAAAAAAATTCGAGTAGGTGCTAAAATTTTGCGGCGAAAAAAATTTTGTCAAATCGTTCTAAAAAAATTATTTTCGTTTGTGGAGGTCAATTACAATCATTTTTGGTGAATACACGTACCCCCGAAATCCTAACCATTTTCGAGAAAAAAATTCTTTACCGAAAATATACTGTATTGCCGACAGTGTTCCTATAACTTTTTAACGAAGTCTCAATCAACAAATTTGTACCCTTGATTTTCGTCTTATTTTGGCCTCTAGAATCTCCCATTAAAATTTTTCCTAGGAGTGGCTGAACATCCTTTATTAACGAGTTTTTACCATTAATATTTCCAATTTTTAGAAATACTTGTAATAAAGAAAATTCTTTGAGCGAAAAGGGTTAATCCTACGTTTGCGATAGACCGGAATAGAGATGGAAATATATCGGAGAAACGTCAGGATGTATATTGACGCAAATTAGTCGCGGAGTGTGCCAATTCAAGACGTTGCTCTCCGTTTAAAAATACGCGTTCGGAAAAGGAAATCGATACCGCGACGAACGTGTTCTACGTCCTCTTATCTTCTTTGTCACGCGTTGCCTGCGGGTCTTAAGTTAGGAAAGCGATCGACCAGCTAATGAAAGGATTTGTTAGATCGACTGATCGACTGGCATCGTCTCATCTCCCTATAGTAGTCGTCGGTGTTTCGATATTACGATCGGGAACGACTGTTCTCGTGCTTTTTATTATCCCAATAGCATCGAAGCGAAGCGACTGGGGACGTCGCGCACAATACGGTCCGTTTCGTTCGACCTAGAGAAAGATCGATCGAGCAAGAAACGCGGTCGACCTCCTAGTTTCCGCATGCGTCGATCGGCGAACTTCATAATCTATGAGAACTCTTTCGTCTCCCATTTCGGTAACGCGGATAATTCTGGAAGTTCCAATCGACGGCTTATCGATCCTCCAGCAAGAAATGTCGCGATAACCGCGCTGCGGTTGCAAAACGATGAAACGAAACCATTAACTCCGTTCGTCGATAGAGTTTTTAGCATGGTCGCGAGTCTCTCAGTCTTTTTCGGGACGGAAGTCGAGTTAAGAATATTTTAATAAAGCGAGGATTGCTTGATACAAATTTTCAAAGATAACAATATCTAGATAGTACCTTATAACGTAACCACACTAAGAGAAAAGAATCCAGCGCCAAATCGTCGCTAATGGCGATTTGTTTCGCGGCGTGTAGTTCTCTATCTTGACACGCGCGCGCGACGAAACCGTGACAAAATGAGAAAGGCCGGCATTAACGGAAATTTCAATTTAATACGTAGTACGCGGGCGGCGGCGGAAAGCGAGCTGGACGGACGGAAGGCCGGTTACCCTCGTAATTTCAATTTAACTTTTTAATTGTAAGTTGACACGGGAGATAGGACGTCCGTAGCTTATACGTTTCGTTGCCCCTCGGCGAATTTGAGAGCCGACCGGGCGCCCTGTAATTTACCGCAAACCAAATTTAATACTGGAAAGCCATCTGTTTGTGACTCCAGCGCCCTTCGAGTCGAGCATCCAACCAGTGCCGTTCCGCCGTCATTATTCCCGCGAAATACTGCTCGCCGCTAGGAAATTTGAAAAATTTTAATCTTCTAGCCTTGGAAACCGACTCTCTTCTCCTTATTACGTCGGTTGCGCGAACGACAAATCCATCGGGATAAACGTTTCGTTCCAACCCCCGCCCCACGATTCATTTTGTAAATGCGTAGGATTTCACATCATGGTACTTGCGATTCTATCGAAATTGTAAGATACGAACTCCGTCCATCCGATTTAGACGATCATATCTAAGCGGTATTATCGATTATTTATTCGAACATACTCGAAGGTCTCGTTGCTGGAGGCAAAGCCGAGCAAATACAATTTGAAACGAAAATAAGAAACGATTGTTTGAAAAAACGTTTCAGCGTTTTATTCTCCGCAACGTAGTTTGGAAATATACACAACATCGATCTATCGATATCGATACGTGTTTCAATTAATGAAATTATTTTGTAGCAATAGTGCTATCGTTCAATTAAAGAACAGATTTACGTACTATGGACGATGGACATGGAAAATACCAATAACAAATACTTGGTTGCACTAATTCCATTTTAATTGAATCGTTATCATTTCATTATTTTAATAATAGAGACAAATGTATAATTTCAATCAGTTAAATATTTCGGAATACTCCATTTCCGGAATATATCCGGAAATATTTGAATATTTTATTAAGCTACATATGAAAGTTATATGATACAATAATGTAACGTAATTTTATTGCAAGTATGGAATTACAGTGAAATGAAATAGTATGTATATTAGCTTGTTTCTGTAATTATTTTATTTTAATAATAACAGAATGTCATTGCGTAACTTTAAGGGTGTTAAAGAATACTTTATAAGTACTAATATTGAAATGGTTAAACCAAATAATTTCAACTGCCCCTTTAGTTACTGTTCAAAAGCAAACTTGTGATGTGAATAAAATCAAACGATAGTAGTTAACATTATAAAATTCTATGAATATTAAACTTTTATAGAGAAAAAATTGTAAAACAATAATAAAACTAAAATTTCAAAACTACGAAGTTCCACGCTGCAATATATTTCGGCTGCACCGCTTATTTAATAAGGCTGTATCACGAAATTTTTATCAAACGATAACAGTCGATCGATTGTACTCTTCGGTGGAAAATATTTATTCGAATCTGAAGATTTCTTCAATTTTAATGAATGCAAATCTTTAAGAGGGGCTGTCGAACTTTTCCAATTACGAAGTTACCGTTTCACTGGAAAAATTCGCATGGAAATTACGATCAATGCAAATTCACGAGACGTGAAACGTAGGTCGGGCAAAAATTTGTATTCTGTTATCGCTTTAGCAGGTCTTGCCGCGTATCAGGGAAGGTAACGCTACTCGGGAAAAAAATACACGCTACAGAAAGAGCCGACGCGACGC